AAAATGACGAGATTTACCGTTATACATAACGCTCCCAGCCCTTCCAATTGCCGCTTGACTATCACAANACGCTTGAAATCAATCCCGAAAAACTTTCCGGGTTTTTCTGCCGGTGCCAACGCCGGTGTTCGGCTTGTCGATGCGTTGGCAGTCACCATCGGAACAACTTGGTTTTCGCTTTCGGTCGTCATTTTTCTGTAAAAGAATGACACAAACAAACATTTAATAAACGTTTTCAAACTGGAGTAAAAATCACGTAGATTTTAATCTTCCAACAAAACGCCACGAAGGCTTTACTCTCCAAAACGGGAGTACACAAAACCACAAAGGTTTTAGTTTGCAGAATAATAAGAATAACACAAATACAGAAATAAATATTAAATTCCTTAAGATTGTTAGTCCCGCCAATCCCAATCCCAATCCCAATCCGTATCCGTAGCCGTAGCCGTAGCCGAAGCCGAGCGACGACGGCGGCGGCGCGAGGCTTGCTTTCTTCTTAACTCTTTAAGAGCTACAAGAAGAGCAATTATATATATACGCACCAAAAATCTCTTCCTCTTCCAATATGGGACAATGTCTCATTGTCAAGAGGGGGAAACTTAAAATTTTACTCAAAAATTTTATTTTCCCTCCATTTCCCATTCACCCTCATTTTAAGACTATTTCATCTTAAAAATTAAAACCTCAACAGTTTTGTGAAGACCAATATAATCCCCATACGGACCATATCGGGACTATGTTTTGGAGTACCGAAAGGCAAGTGTAGATAGACCGGAGAGACCGTTCTTCTTAACGTACCAAGACTTGAAGAAGGACACGTTGTGCTATGTGAAGAAGTTGGCAGAATTTATGAGTAAAATATATATGAGATATTGTTAGCTAGGTATTTGGACAATGACGGTAAGAGTAACATGTCTCTCATAGTAGTAACGTACTTTTAAGGAAAACTATCTTTCGTAGATATATATAGCTTCTCTTCAAGAAATAGATAAATAAATTAACAAGCAAGAATTAATATATACTAGAGTTACAATGACGACAGTACTGGGTGCTAAAGCATCAATTATTTTTGGACCCAAACACTACAGGACACTAGTTTTATTCATAACTAGCTGCCACAAAGAAGAGCTTTCGCATTTTCCAGACAAGTTTTCCAAGAAGATCTTGGGCTCGATCAGGTTTAGTACGTATCAAGGTGATTCCTGTAATGTAAGACTAAGCTAAGCTATTATTCTTTCCAAGGTACGTATAACCAGTCAACATAAAGTGATAAAAGACCGAATATAATTCAAACGTGCAAAATTAAGAAGGATAACAAGAAACAAGCTCGTGTTAAGCAACATACCAAGAATGAAGAATTAAGCTGGGGTTACGTTGTTGTGGCATATGATTTGAGCGTTTTCTCAAAGAGAAATTTGCAGAGCTAGTTTGGCACTCTGGCCCCCTCCTCATTGAAAGATATGGAGCTAGCAATGGAGGTGGACAGAATGCCAAAATGGCTCTACTGATCACAAAGACAAAAACCCTAAAAATGAATTGAATTTATAAACTAGCAGAAAAGACTTATATACACTTCATGATGTGGATGCTTAAGTTACTAATATATGGGGGGTTCATAAATTCATTTTTGCCGTTGATTTTTTATGAGTGATTTGAATGAATTTTTGGATATATACAGCTATATATATAAGCTTTTTTAGGAGATGGATGGATCTCAAATCAATGGGTACAACTAAACTTAATATGTTCGAGTATGTGGAGATAAGAGGTATCGTTACTATTTTGCTGTCATTATTTTTATTTTCTTCAATATTTTCATTTTAGTTTTTTTTACTCTCATATTTTTGAAACATGATTTAAAAAACCCTTTTTTGAGCTGAGGGTCTATCGAAAGCAATCTTTCTATTTCATACAAGTCAGGGGTTATGTCTACGTACACCCCACCCTCCCGAGTCCCTACTTGTGGAATAACACTGGGTATATTGTTATTGTTATTGTATCATACGTCGGTTCAACAATATAAAATTAATTTTTTAAAAGATTGAACCTATCGAGTTTAAATTTTGGACTCACGGCTTTTTGTATCTTTTATGTAGAAGAAAAAGAAGGAAAGAAAGTTGGGTGCATGAGCGAGCATGGTGTTAGTACGACTTAGTGGAGGGTAAAAGGGAAAGGTAAGGAGGAAAGTTGGCATATATTGTTTTTCTTCTTTACCTCATTCCCACATTTAACCAACTAGGAAAGTTTGAGAAGTTCTTTGCTTCAGTCTTGTACAATGTGGACACACTTGCCTTTGCTTTCTCATGGATTATCTGTACAAGAAAAGAGACTTTGTTTGACTTATATATGATGATTCTGGTAGCTGTAACTATGATTTGGTTTTTGACTTTTGCAGCAAAAAAGGGAGAGTGCAAAATGGGGCTGCCATTGTCTCCCATTTACTAGGTAATCACCATTGTCAACTCACATCAATTCTACCTCTTTTTACATTTCAATCTTTCATGCTTCCCCTCCCCAAATCAGCCTTTTGCCCCATAAATTCTTAATGGGCATTAACAGTGTAATTTTTTTTTTTTTTTTTACAATCAACTCATTTATAAGGTAATAATTGTATTTAATAATATTATTTGGTAATCTACAATAAATAACAAGTAACATATTATGACATTGATGATGTAAAATTTTTAGTATATTATCATTGTAGGAGTATATAACTTAAGACCTTTATAAATGGCAGATAAAGAGTTGCAATGATAAGATTGGGGAAGAAAAGACTGATGAAAATGTATTTATGTGTTTTTACATGATACCATTTTGGGTATTTAGCTACTTTTGTATCTAAATTACGTGTGTACTTTATTGTTGTATCACATGTTTTCAAAATGTCAATTAATTGTATCCATGCCAAAACATGGATTAAAAAAAGTTATCTCAGTTCATAAACCTTGATAAAATATAGTAGTAGTAGTAAAGTATTTGTCTAATGCATGTGTAAGTGTGTACCAAATATGCATATCTTAACAAATTACATTTTTCGTAGAGTGAATCTTGACTAGCATGATTCCTTAATTTGAATTCACATGCAATCTTTCGATGTTATTCACACTGCCTCCACTCAAAAGTTATATTGTCTTTTTTGCTAAAATGGTCGTTTAACGTAGTTTTTTTCTTTTTCTGAAGATGAAAAATTATCTTTCTCATCTTTACGCATTTGACAATTTTTCTACTCAATATAACAACTAATTAGATGAAGTCATGGTTCATTTTTTCTTAATTTACATATTTAATCATTAGAGGATATCAGTTTAAGATGCACATATTTTGCAAACAATTTCGCATTTACATTTCTAGTTTTGGTATTCATGTTTTGCCTTCATTTGGCCCTTTTGGTATTCATGTTTTTCCTTTATTTGTCCATTATAAATTTTATACTCAGAGAGGGTCTCAACAACTCCGTTATCGTCCAGCGGTTAGGATATCTGGCTTTCACCCAGGAGACCCGGGTTCGATTCCCGGTAACGGAAATCAATTTTGTTTCCATTTCTATTCAACCATATCCAGATTACTTGAGGAAATGTTAAAAAGATTAGGTTGCATCTACAATTTTCTCTTCTATTTCAGTTACTGATTTCTTTTTGGACAAATGAACACACCTATGCAGTCGCACGAAGCCAATAGAAAATTTATGATTTCATATCATTCTATCATAGATATTAACTTTGGAATTAATAAAACTTCGATTAGAGTATTATTTTTCATAATATTTCAAAGATGACATGTTTCTAATCTTAAACCACAGTTTCGATATGGTCACTCTCAAATTTTCTTCTAAAAAGGCATTCTAGAGATTAATGCATGACATTCTGCAAAAATTACGATCAATTTTTCCTCATTTCGAGAATTACAACCACTAATTCACAGAAGCCCATCCTAATTAGTTCCATTATTTATTAAAATTTCTGATAATATTTATGCTCAATAGAACAAGAAACTAGCATGGACCTCCAATTACAACCAGTGGATAAGGGGGCAATTGGTGTGTTGATATAGAAAGACAAGAAATAAGCAAATCAAACTCAATCCTGCTGTTTCTTGAGGCATTTGACTACATTATTTACCTGAAAAATGTAACTTGAGATTGAGGAATAGTTATTGTTGTTTTGGTGCATTTACAGGACAGTTGAGATTCGAGTCAAATTTACATGTTGGTTTAATGTCCAAAAGAGAAGTGACGAATTGAAATCAACTTCAATCACCTTCTACTAGATCACTGAATCAGATATATACTGCAATCAAGAAAGCTAAGCTGAAGATCAGTAATTCCGTTTACCAGCTCTCCGTCGAGCCTTCCTCTTCTTGCTCTTAGGAGGAGCAGTAAGCCTGGAAATAGAACGAATTTTTGGAGTTGGTTGATCATCCAGGGCAGGATCTGGATCTGGGAGACTGGTCGGGACGGTACCCTTCTGCGCACACTCTAAAACCTGAGGCTTTTCCACAGAATGAATCTTGTATTCCTCAAAATTACTCATCTCTTCCTTCGTTCTTTGATAGTAGATTAGAACACCATCTTCAGGCTGCACGTCAAAGATGATTTCATGAATCCGAGACATATTACAAGCATCAATTCAGCAATTGAGTAGCAAGTTTTAGCTCATCATCACACTATATGAAGAATATTTCATGACTAGCCAAAAAATGCAAGCTAGAAGACAATTGCTTGGCCTCATCAAAGCCTTTTTTTCTAAGACCATCATAATTATCGATAATGCTTAGTTAGAAGAGATTTTGCATTATCCAAAAGCACAGTGAGATCATGACCAAATGCCAAAATAGACAACTAAGGAAGAAGAAAAAGAAGAAAGCACAAAAACCAAATCACGAGGTTATAGTCCTGTAGAAATCTAATGTGCAAGCTTTCTGCTAGTTGGAACAGTGGATAGAACAGTTATATCTCCCTCACTACAAGTAAAATAAACATCTACTTCCAAAGCCACCAAACTTTTCCCAGGCGATAAGTATTGAGTTTGACTGCTTTCACGATAGAAGGAGAACTATTTTAACCATAAACTATTACAATTAGAAAATTATGGGTTAACTAAGTTAAAGCAGGAAGTAACAAAGAGAGATCACTCAGAGAAATGGAACATAAAATGAAATCTATAAGAAAAAGAATAAAAGTACATCCCATCATTTTGCCTACTTATATTGAAAACCACGAGATTCCTTTTTGATTTTGCACCGGGTGTCCGAGTCTCTTTGAGCCCCGACTAATCCCGGAGGTGCACAGGCCCTCGGCAAGGAGTTTCCCGCAAGTGCACCACGGTTAATTCAGGTTTTACCCAGTCCGATGGCCCTGCACCCCGTGGGTTTCGAACTTGAGACCTTGAAAGGGAGCAAACCCCAAGGCTCAAGTCAATTGCCACCAGGCCAACCCCTGAGGGTTAACCACGAGATTCCTTTGAAGGGTTAATGATCTATGATGAATGATAGTGCCCATACACGGTACCCAGAGAGCAACATTCAATGAAGAATAGGGAATCATGTTGAAGTACTTACATTGGTGTTTGTATCCAAAAGAAAGGAACGGTCTTTGCTTTCATTCACATTAGGGATGTTCACCGCTTTTCCACGGCTTGAAGCTGCACTGACAGGCACAGCCATATTATACTCAGATATCAGCTGTGATACAACATCACAAGATCCTACTGGCATTTTGACCCGATTGTCCAGAAGAGAGGCAGAACTCCGAGCTGAGCTGGCCAAACCATTACATGGTAGAAGTGATTTCAGGTCCTCAGCGCTTGAGAACACTCCAGCGTTCTCACTTGTTACCTTGTCAAGTCTAGTTTTAAGCTGGATAACTTGTGACTGAAGAACCCCAATGTTGCGGAGTATTTTCTCCAAGGAAGTATCACCATCAGCAGGCCGTAGGTGCAAGTCATCTTGAATCTCAAACTCATCATCAGCATTGTTCTTGTCAGAGCAGATGGCTACAGAATTAAGAAGTGAAAAGATTAAATGCACAGAACAACTAGAAGAAAACCAGCACAAGAGATAAAGCACATACAACAGATGTAATTTTGTATAGGATATCATTTACGAAAGAAAACTATTATGTACTAGACCGAGTTCAAAGATGAGAAGAATATACACAGTTGGGGGTCAAAATGAATCAAATAATCAACCATGCCTCAATTTAAACTAACTGGGTTGGCTATATCAATTCTTTGCATCCATTTTGTTGTATATAGGGCCACTTCATTCAATACTAACTAAGGTACCTTTTAAGGCAAAGGAGTTTTTTAAAACATAAGTTTCCATCACTTATTCCTACTATAATATACAGGTTTCTAAGGACACTAAAAGTACTCTTAACAAACACATAACATAATCCAAGTGTAAGTGTGTAACAACAACTACCATTAAATCACAACTAAGCAATATTGCCTATATAATCCCTTTGCTTCCATTGTATTGTCCTTAACGAAGTCATATCAATTTCAAGAGATTGCAAATCTTTTGAAGGGGTTGTTAGTAATTACAATTTTCAACTATTTTCAAATTATTTATTTTTATAAGGTAAAAGTTTATTAAAAAGGTACCAAGATGGTATAAAATGATACAAAGAGCATCCCAAAACAACCACCACCGCCCAGTCCCTCCTAACAAATCCAGAAAATCTATAACCTGGTGCAGAACTACTTCCAAATTATTCCAACATTTCTTCTCATTTTCTTTTGTAGTTTTGGGCTGATCTGGGCTGTGCTGATCCGGACTAGGGGTCGAAAAGCCTTGGCCTGGCCCCAGTCTGATATGTTTGCCCGGACAGCCAAGGCCCAATTTATAGAAGTGCGCTGGCTCGGGGCTCATTTTTATGGGTCACTTGGTGAGTTTCCTTACTCTCTCAAGTGTTTTACCACTGTTCCATCTTTCGACTGACTCTCTAGCTAGTTTAGTCAATTAACACAATATAGTCCACAATTAGCAAGCACGATCGTATTTCATCCTTGTTGGTTCGGTCATTCTGACTAGGGTATACAATAACAAGCTTAGGGCAGATCCCTAGACCCACGGAACTAGAAAACTCCTCTATATCTCCTCAAGTTGAGTTCTCATACTCGTGACCAATTTCTCTGACATATCCTTTATGGCATTTACATATTTGACATAAATCCCTTTCTTCTCAAGCCAAGTCCTTGGCACTTTGTTATATGCTTTCTCTAGGTTAATGAATATGGGAAATTCGTTTTCCTCTTTTATCCTTAATTTTCTGAACAAAAATATGGCATGGGGTAGACCAATCAATTGAAATAACATCTCCACCTTATTTGATGACGCCCTCCGTTGTCAAAACGTGTTAAGAAATCATTTCTATTACACCCCATTTCATGAACCTGGCTCTGATACCATGAGAAGAAGTGGACCTTAAGCTTAACTCAACCCCAAAAGTTAGCTCATGAGGTGAAGATTGCTCAAGACCACATAAGGAGACCAAGTAATCCATCACCCACCAATGTGGGAACTCAAATTCCCTTGAGACTGAAAGTCTAAAACTACGCCTTTTTATGTCCTATGTGAGTGTTATAACCCAATTTGGTCTTTTATCTGCATCAACCTAATAATTGTAACTAATTTTACTCCAACAAGCAGCATTTTTGCATGCACATATGTGTCACCTCAAGTGCCGTCGACCATACATATGCCACTCTAACCCCAAAAGTTAGCTCATGAGGTGAAAATTGCCCAAGACCACATAAGGAGACCAAGTAACCCATCACCCACCAATGTGGGAACTCAAATTCCCTTGAGACTGAAGGCCTAAAATTACGCCTTTTTATGTCCTATGTGAGAGTGTTATAACCCAATTTGGTCTTTTATCTGCATCAACCTAATAATTGTAACTAATTTTACTCCAACAAGCAGCATTCTTTATTTGCATGCACATATGTGTCACCTCAAGTGCCGTCGACCATACATATGCCACTCCTCTAAAACTCACTATCTTTAGTTCTTGGTGCTTTGTTGTCCTTCATTTTAGGAATCTTAGCTAAGTATGAGTTTTATTCCTCCACCAACCCAGTCATAACCTAACTAAATGACTAAGCATAGTTCCAAGCAATCTTGTACCATCAATGAAAGTACTAATTAATTTTAACTGCACAATGGAAGCAAAATAGGACATATAGCATTTTGGTGGAATTAGAGGCCACAAGATTCGGGGTCAACTTCATCAACATGTCTCAGAAACTCAAAAAGGAAAAGTACAACGTGAACTTGAAACCTACAATCTTTAACATCTGTGTGCAACATTGAAGATACTTGTACTCAAGAGATAAGTATAAATTCTTAACCAAACAGCACGTGTCTCACAAGAGGTCCAATTCATACACATCCAAACATAACCTCTGTTGTATGTGCAATTGCCATTAATATTGGTGAGCAAGAGATATGAATAGGAACAATGTATCCATTGCTATTTTGATGTTATAAAAAAAAAATTCCACCAAGAAGCAACACGAAACAACAGCAATTGCAACTCAAGATTAAGAAAAGTATGCATCCTTACCTATTTTTCCCAGCTCATTGTCCGGAAAAGAACCATCAGCAATTGAGTTTCTCTTTTCTGCAATTCACAAATATAAATTCATGACTTGCAATTGAAAATAAGAATATCAGGCTAAAGGACAACAAATGAAAATATTACCAAAGAAAGAAAACAAGGGATGATGAGACATATAAGCTGCTATATCCAGTGTGTCTTCAGTTCTTCTTCTCTTCTTTCTCTTCACAACCTTATCTCTTAAGCTATCACAAGAAAATGGAAGTGACTTCGAACCTAAACCTTCCAATTCAACACTTCCCAGCTGAGGCTGCATCTGACACTTGATATCCCGCATTTGTTTCTCATATTTTCGAGCTCGAGACTGAAGCATATGGAGTTTCAATTCAATCAACTTGCATCGCTGCCTAAGAGGTTGTACAAAGTCTCTCCAATGAGGGGTCACCTTTTTCCTCCTAAAGGACAATAACAAGGTACAAGGTAAATTTTAAGGCTTTTACAGACATTCTCTTACACTGAAAAAGGGACAAAACACCACAAAAAGAATTATACCACCCCTCAGCGAATGGTGAATCTGACACATGAACCTTCACATAAGTCAAGGATGTGACAAATAGTTAGTTCTGACTGTGAACAAGAACCTCAAAAGTCAGTTCATGGCCAGACTTGGTTAAACAACTGTCCTAGGAGAGTAACCTCGTGGTTGAAAATCTCAGTAATGACCTTAGAAAACAAGGTTCAAATCTTAGTAGAGGTGACACTAAGTGAGTAAGTGAAGTCTTTCTATATGCCGAAACTTTGGCTGAAGAGTTTCCCAATACATATATTGGTGGAAGGTAGTAGCATATACCAGGTGAATTAGTTGAGGTGCGCTCAAGCTGGCCCGACCATCACCATTATCCAAAAAAGAAAACCACCTAGGTTTCACAACTAAACCATGCATAGTTAATTCTTCAGACAAACCCATTCCTTTAACGTAACAAGAAAATTGACTTTAATAGATGTATCTATCCCTGCACATGACCGGCGCATGTTTACTGGCATGACTCTGTCAAGCACATTTTAATAGTAACCACTCACTCTCCATCCAGTCATCGATTTTCAAAGTTTATTTCTCTCCTCTACTTTTGCAAACTCCAGGTTTTGTTAGAGTTATAGAATAAATAGAATGGCAATTACCATCTTTCTCTATTTGGAAGGTATTACTATTTATTGATTTCTCATTCACATGTCAGCCAATACTCTCTCTCTTTCTCTCAACCTAGCTAAAATGCCCAAACAATCAGTGACAAACAAGTAAACCCACCACAAATCCAAAATAGCCCTTACTAGGCATCAGGGGCGGATCCAGCTTAACAGGTGTGGGTTCCCGTGAACCCAGTAGCTTTTGCACATACCCTATATATGTATTAAAAAATCCATTAAATATCTATAAATATTTGATTTTGAACCCAATTACTTATTGTATATTTACTTGAGGTCGTTGTAGGAACCCACAAACTTCAAATCTTGTATTCGCCTCTGCTAGGCATGATGGCAATGTTCTCGATTAGCACATGTTATCACTAACAAGGCCATTAAGGTCTAAAATTAGCAGCCATAAAATCCTAAAGAAAATACTCAAGAAATCATCTTTAGGTTCATTTCATATCATGCAACAAAAAATAAAGCTGGGCAACTTTTTGTGCATGATTTTGCAAAGCTAAAAATGCTAGTAAGTTGACTTCTGAAGTTTCCCCACTGACAAAATGTCAAGAAAGAAAGCTTGAGTTCTGCAATCAGTTTCCTTTTCTGATGAATGAAGCAATGGATTCTAATGTTTATTCACATATGAATCATCAAATTCAAGGCACCAGAAACCAAAATGCAGCCTATAGAGAAAAACAAAATAGGGCTATCCAAGAAATAAGAATCTTGGAGAAGTAATACATACGTCATCCTAAATATGTCACCAAATCCACTAAATGCTAGTCGCGATGTAGCATCACCATTGTATTCTGATGTACACTCGGCATCACTCATAGTTGTGCAGCAATTCTCTGCTTCAGAAATAATACTCTCAAATGAACTTGAACTCTCTGTCAATTCTTCCTTGTCTGATTCCACCAGCACATTATTAGCAGGTTTTGTACACTCTGTAATATCAATTTCATCATCCTCACTGCCATGGACTCCTTTTACTTGTTCAACAAACGAGGTATGGTCTTCATAGTTGCTGGCACAATTTACATGACTAGCTTCAAGTTCTTTTGAATCAGTTCCGTTCTGCTTCTTTGCAGAAGCCTCCAAAATCATGTCTGTGTTTTGCTTGTTCTCTAATACAGGTCCCATTTTGCAATATCTTGATATTCAACTCATTCTCAGCACAATGAGAGAGAACACCATGTAAATAACCTGCCACAGAAGGGGAAATTGCTCATAAGAAACTCCAAGACAAGATATACAAGATTTCCTTTCTTTTGTAGTATATCCAATTTGCAGGGTTAACCCTTTATTATTTCCAAAAGATAATGAAGTAAAAATAAGATAATATATCTGGACATTGCCAAAACCGGGAGAACCAATGATCGCTTCCGAATTCAGATGGCATTTACTGGAGGAAAATATCAATATGTTACCCTAGAATGAAAACTCATCTTTTTCTCATGAAATAAAAATATATCTACTAATTGTTATAGTTTTGACTGACCAATGCTTTGAACCTAGAGGCTAGAATACCATGCTTTCCGAAATAAATTAGGTGAACAACCTTACATTCCTCTTGTATTTTGCCTTCATTCGTCTTCTTTCTTTTTCTCCCCAAACTAATTTTATTCTTTTTTCTCCCAGCTGGTTGGCCGTCTACCACCTTAGTTTTTTAATTTTATTTTAAATCTCTACACAGAATCAAACAAAAACCGAGAGATTCAACAGTGCCCAGTACAGTTCTGACTAAATAGCTCCATAGGTTCATTCTCAACCACTCAAAGAAAGCAAAGCCGAGTCTTTGGTTTTCCTTTTCCCCCTTTTTGATCTATCAATCAAACGTTTTTTTTCAATATTTATGGAAAATCAGAAACTTTTTTTTTGTTAGTTAATTTGGAAATTCGATACAACTAATTATTTACCAGCAGTAACTTCGAATTAAAGTAGAATACTCCTAAGTTGTAAAACGTAGTAGTAGAGCTTTCGAAACACAAAAACCAAATATAATTAAACGGACTTCAGAACCTTTTTGAACCCATCAGAAAACCCAATTCAAGAAAGTAATAACAAAGAACCGAAATTTCAAGAGCCCAATTCCAAAATTCTGTCAAAAAGGTAAAGAGAAGTAATCAAACATACCAGTGTGTAAGATATAGAAGAAGCTCCCAAGATCCTTGCAGCTGCGATTATCAAAAGAAAAGGTTTAATTGGAAAGTTTTCAACAGACTCTGTCCTGATTTTTCGTCTTCGCCGAGGGAGCGAAAGTGCCCTGGGCCCGGGGGGGGGGGG